ACACACACACCACACACACACACACGGGATATATGGATGCTTCGATCACCATCATCAACACTGACAAAGAACAACTCCTAGCTCAGTGTTCTAACATCTGCAAACGGCAACTGCTATCATAACTAGAGATTGACGAAGTACAACAAATATGCTACGGCAAGGGGGACCCAGGAAGACAGGTCAGCGGGGAGATGTTATCATCCTCCCCACACTCAGAGATTGGGTCCCAAGCCCCAATAACAACAAGCCCTTAAGGTACAGAATCACTCAACATAAGGGCGACTGACCTACGATTGAAGATCATAACTAAGCTGGACCCCCCAAGTACAACAACCAAGATTGCCAAGGGTAAGTGACAAAGTACCCTCTGAAAGTCTGCTAGAAGATGTGAATGCAGCACTACATACTATACTTACTAAAGCCATAACCGAGACCAATGAACTGATGTATGCCGCAGCAACAGTGATCCTAGAGATGCTTGGCTACAAGATGAACACCACAAGCCACAAAGAGCATTACCCCCCATGGAGGAGAAGGCTAGAGGCCAAGATCAAGGCAACACGAAGAGAGGTTAGTCAGCGGTCAGAGCTACAGAAAGGTGCAAGGAAAGGACTACCTTAGAACTACAACAAGCTGTCCATACCTGAGGCTTTGGAGACTGCCAAACAAAGATTTACCGCTCTGGCTACCTGCCTAAAGAGATGCAAGGGAGAAGCAGAAGCCAGGAGAATAAACCGGATGTTCTCCACCGAACCATCCAAAGTGTACTCTTAGTGGCAGGGTAATAACACAATATCAGATCCACCCAGGGCTAAGACGGAACAGTACTGGAACATATGGGAGAAAGAGGCATCCCACAACACCAATTCTCAGTGGCTTGTGGATCTAAGAACAGATCACAGCAATCTCCCAGAACAAGATCCAGTAACCAACGGCAGACATCCAAGAAAGAGTGGCAGGTACGAAGAGCTGGACAGCAGACAGAAAACCTATGACTCAATGCCACATACATGGATACTGGAATGCTTGGAAATGTACTCAGCCAGATCATCACGAAGACTGGCTACAGATACTGGTTCCAAAGTGGAACAACCATCAGTCACCTCTTCTACATGGATGACATCAAGCTGTATGCCAGAAATGAGCGAGACATCGACTCACTGATCCACACTACCAGGATCTACAGCAACGACACTGGAATGTCGTTCGGACTGGACAAGTGTGGTCGCATTGTATCAAAAAGAGGGAAGATGATCATAACCGAGGGGGTTGAACTACCAGAAGGCCACATTGCAGATGTTCAGGACAGCTACAAATACCTTGGGGTGCCGCAGGCTAACGGAAACCATGAGGAGGCAGCAAGGAAGTCTGCCACAGCAAAATACCTACAGAGAGTAAGGCAGGTCCTGAAAAGTCAGCTGAATGGGAAGAACAAGATGCGAGCCATCAACACATATGCCCTGCCAGTCATCAGATGCCCCGCTGGTATAATAAACTGGCCAAAGGAGGAGATAGAGGCCACTGACATCGAGACAAGAAAGCTCCTCACAATGCATGGAGGGTTTCACCCCAAATCCAGCACGCTGAGACTGTACACCAAATGTAGTGAGGGAGGCCGAGGGCTATTGAGTGTCAAGACCACTGTCCAGGATGAAACGACAAAGATCCAGGAGTACATCAGGAAGATGGCCCCCATAGATGAAGGGCTTAGTGAATATCTCAGGCAGCAGAAACCCGAGGGTGAGGACAAGGAAGACGAAGAACCTTCATGGAGAGACAAGTCACTGCATGGCATCTACCACAGACAAATAGCTGATTATCAAGAAATCCTACCAGTGGCTGGAAAAGGCTGGACTAAAGGATAGCACAGAAGCACTAATTATGGCTGCACAAGAACAGGCACTCAGTATAAGATCAATAGAAGCTGGGGTCTACCACACCTGGCAGGACCCCAGCTGCAGACTGTGCAAGGATGCCCCTGAGACAATACAGCACATAACAGCAGGGTGTAAGATGCAGGCAGGAAGTGCATACATGGAACGCCATAACCAGGTAGCTGGCATAGTGTACAGGAACATCTGCCATGAGTATGGGCTGGAAGTCCCAAGGTCAAAATGGAAGACACCTCCTATGGCAGTTGAGAATGACCGAGCTAAGATCCTGTGGGACCTCAAGATCCAGACTGACAAACTGGTGATGCCTAACCAACCAGACATCGTGTTGATCGACAAACAGCAGAAGAAGGCTGCAGTGATAGATGTGGCAATCCCAAGCGACAGCAACACCAAGAAGAAGGAACACGAGAAACTTGAGAAATACCAAGGGCTGAAAGAGGAGCTAGAAAAGATGTGGAAAGTAAGAGCAACAGTGGTGCCAGTGTTAATCGGAGCACTGGGGGCTGTGACCCCCAAACTGGGAGAGTGGCTACAGCAGATTCCAGGTAAAAAAAAATCAGAGGTCTCTGTCCAGAAGAGTGCAGTCCTAGGAACAGCTAAGATACTGCGCAGAGCCGAAGACAATGTTTACTGTCCCTCCTTCCAAAAGTGTTAAATCGTTTATTAAATACATCCTGCCGGCCGTTAGAGAGAACGCAGCTTTAAGTTCCATCTGCATGGTTTGACTTTCGACCCAGAGGTCGCAGCATGATTGAGATTAGAGAAATAGCATTTGACAACCTCTTGTCACATAACTACAACTCTGGATTGGACATCGGTGCGCGGCAAGAGCTGCAAAACAACTGCAGGATGTTGAATTTCATTTTTTTCTTTTTTAAATACTAATGTTTTTGCACTGGCCCGACTTTCAGCGTTGGCCGATGGCTGTGCCGTTCACACAACTTGCCGTCATATGATGGGAGTCTTGAAGTTGTTCTGGTGTTCACACTACATGACTGATCGGTGACAGGGACACACACACACTACAGGAGCTGACAGCGGCTGTGTCACCCGACGCTGGTCTACAAACCACGTTTTGTCAAGAAAACACATGTGAAATGTGAAACGGGAAATGAGTGATCCTGATGGCAATTATAAAGACAAAGAATCTGGGTGAATGGATGGAATAGCACACACAGGTAGCAGGGATTGTCTGAGCTACAGAGAGAGGGAGGGGAGTTAAAAGGTGCAGCTACCTGACACCCAGTTAACTCATGACTGTGAGGTTACAACTCACGGCCCAACAAGGAGAACAACAAATGCACGTGTGTACAATAACAGCTGAGGTCTGCTGCTTACTTTGGCTAGCCTTCAACTCAACAATCAATCATTATTTCAGTTAAATGCTGAAGTTGCTGTTACTGTTACCTTGTCTGTGGTCTGCTGGCAGAACACCGGCTGCTTTTTGTTCAGGTGGCGTCGTGCTGTTGCCGAGGCGACATAGGTTTCGTTTTACGGTGGACAGATGGTAACATTACAGAGTTGTTGTTTTTTTTAGCTTGAAATAATCCCATACTTTGGGCACTTTCTTCTTTGTCCCTCGCTATTTTCTCGGTCTTCCTCCACTTTGCAAATAGCTCCATTATAATCACGTTGTGTTCACAGCGTAAGCGTGATGTGCGGCAGTAATAAATGCCCGTGCGAAACACTGTGCTGTATAGTTAAATGGATTCAACGAAGCATCAATGCAAAGAATTTGTGTCGATGCATTTTATTCCTCGATTTTATCAATGAATCGTTTCAGCCCTAATGTACACACACACACACACAGACACACACACACACACATAAATATATATACACAGTGAGGTTATAGTGATATAGTTTCCATCCAAATGCAGCACAAATTTTCCTCCTCTCAATTCAGCATGAGAATCAAACTCTGTAAACTCCATTTCCCCAATCATAAGACTGTGCGCTCAGTGTTTCCCCCTAGGATGGAGTTGTAGCAGCGGAGGTGAAGCAAAATTTTTGGCTGAATATAAAACCCCAACACAACACGTCTCAGCAGTAGGGCTGACCCCCAATAGTCGAAGATTCGATGGGCTGAGCCTGATCCGACTGTCAATCTCACAGTAGAAGCTTCGCAGCGAAACAAGGATCATGCCATTTTGGCAATTTAGGGGTGCTCAACGTCTGATTTTACATTTTTCCAAATAAGTTAATATACAGCCTATTACAATATACATTTCAATGTTTAATGCTGTAAATAAACATGTAGAAAGAATAAAACTTTCAATAAATGTTTTTAAAGTGCGTAAATAAAATCCAAAATTGTAACCATAACCCTGGATTGTCAGTGCGCATGTGTAAGCGTAGCGTGCGCGTGTCGGAAGAGGAACACTTGCAGAGACGCTGGTGTTGTGCCGAGTTGTCCGCAGCTCGCGGGACTTTCGGAAAATTTATCACCGTTAACCACACAAAGAATATTTTATCGTTTTGAATAAAAATACACGTAAACTCACATAAGACACAAGACCAGTGAATGACAGGCGAGAGAGAGAAAAGGGACTTGAAAAAGCCTCAGTTTAGCTGGAAATTTACAGCGCAAGTTGAATGAATAGAGACTGCAGCTCCTCAAGAATAAAGCGGCGCTTACCGTGTGTGGGAGGGTTTGGGGGTTTTCCAATGAAAAATATGTAATTTCACATCATATTGGGCCATTATTTTCACCTTATCTCTGAACAAATCTAGCTAGAGCAGATAATAAATAACCCCCCAAAGATCAGTCTACTGGGGAGGAACTACAACCTTAATATCTTGGGAAAGTTATTTGGTTGATTATGATGCTCTCCACAGTCATTTTACATTTCTGACACAGCATGTTTTGGGCATGACCCCCTAAAACCCTGTTAATATGACCTCAGAATCATTACAGATATGATTATGTGTATATGATCATGTTTGTCTTTAATATAAAAAAAAAAAAAAAGGAAACATGAGAAACCTCCTCCCTTCGGAGGTGCATTTTATTTGCACATTAAAATCCAAAAAGAAACATCTCCTCATTAGCTTAAAAAGACCTATACAGATACAAGTTACTTTCTATAAATTGAGCTAATGTTAAGTTACATAGAGCCAAAAGACACAGTCTACTGTAGAAGCTTTCCTGCTCAGCTGCGCAGTCTGAAGGGGAGGGGAGATGTCTGCTAGCGCTAACAGGCTTCACTTTCCCGCAGTTGGGGAAACAATAGACAGACTTTTCTTGGTCTTGAGAAGCTGACACATCGTAACAGAGACAGTACATTTACTGCCAGAATATTTTCCTCCGCTTGCGTTCACCGTCACTTTCTGCCGCTCGGACAAACAAACACTCGCTACGTACCTCCCGATCCCTTACAGGAGTTACGCTGCTCTTATAACAGCATCTGTCACGTAGATGTTTTGTATAGAACGATTAGAGGAAGCTAGCCAAGCATTGAGTGTTGCCGTGCTCACACAGTGTGCGATTAAAAACATTTATAGCACAGTTTAATGATCGTGAGAAATTTTTGTAGCGGGCGGTCATGATTCAGCAGCGGCGCACCGCCGTTCCTGAATGCATATAGGGGAAACACTGGCGCTGGTCAGTATCCTAATCCAACTACCCCAATCAAAGGACTGTAAATTCTTTTGATGCACAAACAGCACCAAAATCTCATTATGCCAACTGCTGACCGGGTACACTTGGACTGTGAAAGAACTCAACTCTGCCTCTACAAGTGTTTTTCACATTAACCAGAAGAAACATATTCACAATTTGCACATATTTACCATACCAAACATAACATATTTTCTTTCGTTCTTAAATTCTTGCAGCCTGGGACTCAAAATAGGAAATGTTTACTTGACTGTAGAGCAAAAGCTTATGAAAACAGTGCTTTTGTTATGTTGGGCAGCAAAAGTCACTAAGTTTAACTTCTAGCTTCTAGGTCCTTGCTTATGTGGCAAACTTGCTCTGCAAGTCATTGTCCACTATCCTCTTGACAGCTGAAGTGATTATTTATTTAGCAACACTCACCTGAAGCTGCCATAGACGATGAGAAGGATGGAGATGAGGAAGGTGGACACCTGGCTGGAGTCAACTAGGGAGTACGCCCTAAAAAGAAGAAAGAGGAATACAAACGTGAGACTCAACTAAAACATCTATGTGATGAAACTATTGAAAAATATTGCATGGCATCTTTTGTGTAATACTGAAAACAAGTATAGTTTCCATAACAACTGTCTTCACACTAACATTTCATTGGTTAACTAACAATTTGTATTCTTTACTTTTCTACTACACACAAGTTTTCTGTTTCATAAACATCACATTCACAGCAGGAAAGTACATCAGCCTTAAAATCCACAAGTGACTTTATGAAAACTCTGCCTTAAAGACCTTGTTAATCTGATGCTTCCTCCTTTTGTTGTACTTAACTGGATTTGTTTAACATTGCAAGTAGCACCAAAGCCAGTTGGCCAACTGTGACTTGCCATTTTCCCTCCAAAAACCCCAAAGGTTTGATATTTGACCACACTGCTGATTTATTACAAGCTGAGGTGAGTGAAAACACATGTATTGTTTGAGGTCAAACCCCATCTGATATGCTATGGCTTCCTTTTAATCCGTCATGTCAATTGCATGTTTCTCTCAACGTATGATTTAATGTTTGAAAAGACTCACTGATCATTTTTGTCTCTCAGCCATTTCACCCTGAATGATGCTTTTCCAAGGGTGATAGTAAAGGTTTTAACCAAAGGACATACTACTTTAGTTAAATATTATAGAATGCCGTTATGTGACCATCTGCCTACACACTGACTACCATTGGATTTGTTTATCATTGTGCTAAATTGTGCAAGTATTACTATCTCTTGGAATAAAGGTGGGTTTCCTATCAGAGTCTACTTTATAATCAATTCAGATGTACAACCCATCTGTTTTAAATCAGACTAAATCATAGTTGCACAGTTCTCGCCATATTTTCTTTATACCACCATGCTGTGGGAAATAAGAAAAGTATGCCAACTGCAATTTCAGTCAATCATTTCAGATGCTGCAATTTGACAATCTCACACTGCTTGTAGCAATTTTATCAGCACCACTTTGAATATCTGCAGGCACACAGGTCACATTTCCTCCTCCAAATACAGCAGGCAAAGATACCATACCAAATCAAAAATTAATATGTGGGGTGGATCAGATTTTATATCAGGAATTAAGATTAAGAACTATAGTATGTACTGTACTAAAATGCTGTAATTTAAGAATGCTTTCAAAAATGGATGTGTTTCTAGACTATACCTATCAATTACCAAAATGCAAAGTAAGTGAACAGAAAATAAATCTAAATCAAATCAATATGTGGTGTGACCACCCTTTGGCTTCAAAACAGCATAAATTTTTCTAGGTACACTTGCACAAAGTCAGGGATTTTGTAGGAATATCGTCAGGTGTATGATTGGTGCAGTTGATCACCAATTCAATATGTAGGTTTAAACACAAACTGAAACAGAAAGAGCTGTATAGCAGGAATACTACAAGGTGAGGAACAGCCAAACTCAGCTAACACCCATCTACTACATCTACTAGAAGTGGCATTCATGGAAGATTTGCGGCCAAAAAGCCACACCTCTGACATGCAAACAAGGTGTATCAACGTATCAACAGTGCAGTGGACAAACAGACTCTGCTGACACACGACGCACACAGCAACAGAACAAAGTGTGGCGTATTTTACAAGAGCTGCAACACTGAGAGCTTCAGTTTACACGCTGTTAGCAAGTCGGAGAGACAAACCAAAGCTAAAAGTTAACTCACCCTGCGTTCACTGTAAGGTTATTTTCTTCATTCAAGTTTCCCTTAGCACTCTCATTAAAATTAAAATACGACCGTACTTCAGAGTGACTGAAAAATCTCCGGCGTCATTGACCCAAACAAACCCACATTGCATTCTGCGCATGCGCGCCTGCTTCTGGGAGATGCTGGACAGTGTTTGCCGTGAGATTATAACAGCACCGTTAACCGTACCCGGTTATCATGGTAATTGAAATGCGTACGGTAATAATAACCGTTGGGAACTTTACCATGGTTAACCATTAAACCAGTAATCGTTTCATCCCTACCCCTACACATACAGCAAAAGTCACTAAGAACTATCTTCAGTGTAAAGAAGAACAAGGAGTCCTGGAGAGAAACAACTAAGGCTGCCTAAATCCACCAAAAGAACTGTGGTAGGGTTGTCTGCAACTAAGGATTTACACAGTAGAATCACATGTGTTTGTGTGGCGGCGATACATGGTAGCTCGCTTTAATCTTGAGAAGCTACAGAGCTGCAGTCTCTATTTATTAATCAGTGTAACTTACGCTGTACATTTACAGCTACACTGAGCCTTATTGTTGACCCTTTTCACTCTGCTCGTCTGCCATTTACCGGTCTTGTGCAGAGTTCTGCCTGCGTGGCTGCTGTACGGCCGACAACAGCATGCACGTACAGTTCCTGTATGTCTAGTTCAAGTACTATTTAAAAACAATATAATATTCTTTATGTGGTTCATCAATGGTGATAAATGATCCAAATGTCCCGCCAAGTGCGGATAACAGGGCACACCACCGGTGAAGTTTGGGCTCCGTCTCTTCATCCACTACACACATACCGACACATCCACCCAGCCAATACACACATACCCACCCACCCAATGTATATTGTAATGTGTATATGAAATAACTGGGAGAGAACTGGTAGTTCTATATAAAATCAGACGTTGAGCATCCCCATATCTCCAAAATGGCATTATTCTCATACCGCCTCTGCGAAGCTTCGACAGTGAGATTGGCATGTTTGGGCCAACCTACCTGCAGAGTTCTTCCAAAAACCATGCAGGTGTACCTAGGTGTACATAGAAGAACTGATGCCGCTTAGAAGGCAAAGGGTCAAACTAAATATTGATTTGCTTGCATTTTGTTAATTGATAAATATAATCTATTCATTTCCATTTTTGAAAACATTCTTACTTAACAGCATTTTTCCACACCTTCCTAAAACTTGCACAATATGGTGTATATGCGGTACATCCATTTTATACACTGGCCAACTGACCTGTGCATTCTGTATTTAAGTGGGACTGGGTATTCCCAGAATACTATTCACTGCAGTCAAACTTTGTTATGTTTGACTACAGTGAATGTTGTGTTGTCACAATTAAAATTATTTGAAATCCTTTTCAGCGACCATCTAAGAGAACAATGTGAAAACATTTCCAGTCGGCACACAACATACTGCACGCCACAAGAACATGCTGCTGTTTTGCACAGAGCTGAATATAATCTGATCCCCTGAGATCAATGAGGCTCATAATTACACACAAGAAAACAGCAAAGAAAGGACAGTGAAACAATTCAGCAGTAAAAATCCGAACTGCAAATTTTGTTGCATTTAAAAAAAAATAACTGGGGAACAACACACAATTTATTATGAAAATCAATAAGGCAAATGTCATCCAGCCTAGACTGGAAGGTGGTCTCTGCTCACAACAATGGTGTGGTTTTCTACATTTTGATTACGCCTACTGATTTAGGAGCATATGACCCATAGTTTGAAAAATAAGAATCAAATAGCTTCATGTAACTTTGTGGAAAGTATTTCTAACTATACTGTTCTATGTTTCATTTTGTGTTCCATCTGTCTTTTGTACAGTCCCATAAGTTTTTAAAGCCGCTTTATAAAGCTTAACTACTTGCTCACAATTAATACTAGTTATTATAAAGATAATAGTGTATATAAAATGTATGTATTTGTTGTGTGATACAACATCCTTAAGGCAATTTATGAAGAATACTGCTGAATCACAACACAAATATATTCATGCATTACAGTCCTGCAAGAAGAGCTGTCTTTTCTATACTATCTAGTATAGCAAACTAGGGCTGAAACGATTCATCCTTTAATAAAATAAAATGTGATTAAACGAAGCATCGACGCAAATTCTTTCCATAAAACTATCCTACACACTGTTTCGCACGAACATTTATTGCTGACGCACATCACGCTTACGCTGTGAACACGACGTGACAGGGCACTACACTAACCTTTTTCCCCCGTAAGAGCACATGTAAAGATGTGCTCCAAAGAAATTCAGGAGCACAGTGAAAAATGTTCAAGTATTCCACTGCAGAGGCTCTTTCTACAACATGGAGGAGAAACTAGAATGAAACGTTGAACATGTTTCAACAAAAGACACCTAATAAAGCTAAATAGCCAGCTAGCTAAACCCACAACTTCATTCTCTTCTCCTTGCTGTCTTCTGTCTCTCCGCTCCTGCTGCTGACACTGATCTCAGTCTTTGGGTTTTTTTGCCGGAGTTTCAACAACTCTCAAATGACTGACACAAGCTTTGCGACGCGTCCTGCTATCTACTCGGAGCAGGGTGTTTTGAACGATTAGCGGTGCGGTACGGCAGGCGCCAAAGTAAGCCGCACCACCAAACAAAAGTACTTCTTAAACGACGCATTGATGAATCGTTGAAATAATCTATACTAAAATCATCGTTAGCTGCAGCCCTATAGCAAACAAACATGACATTACAAAATACAGCTCATCAATCTGGACTTTCTGCTATCTGTAGTAGGGTTGGGCGATCTTTTCTATTTTCATATCACCTAATCATGGCTACTTGAGAAAACCCCCGATTGAAACAAGTGGTTGTAGGATTACACATCTGACTAATCCTAAAATTTCAACTTTAAGTCATCTTGCTGTTCAGACAAATCTGTAATCAGGGTTTCTAGTTTGCAGGCTGATGCTGCACCTAAGCACCAAATTGTTCCCCGATGATCTGGGGCCTTGACATAGCGTACACTTGACATGCAACCTTATAATACAGGCCTTTTTCTGAGGCAAAGACAAGTTCAGTTGAGAGGTGCAGCTCTGACCCCCATCTGGACTTGTCTTTCTCCTGTCAAGCTCTCTGGCCACAAGTGAGGACTGCAGGCCGGAATAAAAAACAAATCCCCAAAAAATCCAGTGACCCCAAGACTGTCATCATCCGCAGCATCAAGTCAAGTTAGACCGATATATCAGCCAACATTATCTTATTATCATAATATCGATGAAT